GACAGCTATTTCTCACTTCATTGCCTTCAGCACCTTTCAATATCTACAAGTAACTACAATCCAATCCCAACTCCTCACCTTTACACAGGACAACCATGGCAGCCACTGCCCTGGCTCAGCTTAAATCTATCTTTCCCGATGATACCCCCGATAAAGTGGTGATCAACGACTCTGGAGACAAGTACCAAGCTGCTGTGACCTACCCCTGGTCACAGACCTGCTGGACTCCTGCGGCAGCATATGTCTATCGAGTACTGTTGAGGAACTGACCAAGGCTCTGGCTATTGTACAAGAGACTGGTACCAAGTTCGCTGTCCGCACAACTGGTCATAACCCGAATGTGGGTTTCAGCAGTGCCGGTGAAGGAGGTGTGGTGCTAGACATCAGGGAGCTAAGGTCAAAAGAACTACTGTCTGATCAACAAGGTATTGCACGCTTTGGGTCGGGAAATACCTGGGGCGAGGTATATGCTTGGCTGGAGGAGCGAGGGCTGTCTGCCATAGGGGGGAGGGATTCGCAGGTAGGACTGGGAGGGTTTCTCTTAGGAGGTATGTTTACTTGCTTGTTTGCTTTCTTGCCTCTCTCTGTCTCTCTCTTCTTGGGATAAATCACTGACTACGTTGCAATAGGAGGCTTGGGGGCTTTGCCTAATCTTTATGGACTCGGCGCTGATGGAGTGAAGAACTTTGAGGTAGGTCCAAGTACTTTTTCGTTCTATTTTGGGCTGGGAGTTGGGTGTAGGGCATGGCAGTATCAGGAGTTATAGTTAACAAGTTCCCCAGGTCTTACTCGCGGATGGCAGACTCATCAATGCTAATAACAATGAGAACACTGACCTCTACCGCGCCCTGAAGGGCGGTGGTTCTAACTTTGGTATGTCTAGTGGCATACTTACTTTCATAATACAATCTGGCTAATCTAACAATCATAATAGGTATCGTGACACGGTTTGATCTTGAAACTCATCTTTTGATAAATGTGCAATATACCATCAATCTCTACAACCCCGAAGATCATGTGGCGATTAATCAGGCTACTTTCGAAGTTCAACAAATTATGGAGAAAGATCCCAAAATTGGGCTGTTCACCAATTTCAACAACGGCTTTGTTGCAGTAGGCCTACTCTATGGAGACCATCCAGCTGAGTCTGAGGCCCGGGAAACTTTCAGGCCGTTCCATGACCTCAAAAGTCTGGTGACAACAGTCCTACCCTCGACAAATGGTACCCTTTTATCTCTAGCTCAAGCTATGGGCCATGCCCAGACACCCCTCAAGTAAGTACTTGTTGTAACCGGAATTTGCTCTTATAGTTACTAATATAAATCCAGACGATCTATTTGTACAGTTACCACCCGGAACTCACCCGAGCTATACGAAGAAGTGTATAAAACCTGGGTTGAGGTCCGTAAAACCCTTGCAACTGATACTGTCCTTCACTATACCATTCAGCCAGTTGGTACAGCTGCTGTTCAAGCTGGTAAAGACCGTGGTGAGAATATCATGGGCCACGAGAGTGTTCCACAATGTTGTATGTTTTACACCCCGCTCCTTGCATATCAAGTTGTTAATGCTAATGCAACTTACTCAATTCCAATAGGGTGGGTTTTCACCTGCGAATGGCCCAAAGATGGCGATGATGTTGCTGCACAAAGTGCTGTTGATACCATGTCAGAAAAAGTGCAGAACCTGGCTAAGGAGAGAGGACTCCTTCTGGATTTCAAGTGTATGAGCTTTGCTACCGCTTCCCAGAAGGTTCTGGGCAGCTATGGGGCTGAGAATGTCAAGCGGATGCAGGAGGTGGCGGCCAAGTATGACCCGGAGGGCGTTTTTCAGAAGCTGCAGAATGGTGGCTTTCTTCTACGGGACAATATCTAAATGCTTATCCAAATGAGGCGGTGCTCTGAGACAGTCCAATAGCAATAGGGAGTTTCTACTTCTTTTCGAATCTTCCAATTCTAAGATATGTATTTGTAGAGTATACTTCAGATTTATATATAATTTATAGAAACGAGAGGTACAAAATGTAGTAGATAAGAGAGAGAGATATCTAGATAAAACAGGATCAGAAAAATAACAAAAGTAACCAATAGACCTCACGTTTATGATAATGTCCATGACGCATTTACAACGATTGACTATGAATAATTGAAATATTTCCTAGAAACTGGAATATAGTCTTATTTTCAAATTAGATTTTAGAGATTGGCAACCAGAGTAGCAAGGCTATAAATCACTAAGATTACCACCGGATATTAATTCGGTGGGTGTTGTGTCATTAATATTCCTACCTTGCACTCTTGTATAGTACCAACCTAGCCTCGACTGCCCACTTCCGAACCACAATACGGTCCCCACTCCCCGCAGATCATGTAATTTTCATCATCGCCCGTCAGATCATTACACTATCAGTAACCACCAAGGTACAATATCTTCTGCATCTACATCTGCAGCTTCCACACGCCTCCACCAGCAATTGGCTCCCACCTACATATCTCTCTCGCCATGCTACCACCCCCGGACAACCCCGACACTATCACCGACACAACAACCACAACCACCACCACATCACCCCTCCCCCTCACCACAGACAATGCCATCACCACCACCACGAAAAACCATAACAACCAACACCACAACCACCCCCGCAAACCCAAACCGACGCTCCTCAACCCCCTCCAAAAAGGCATCACAACATACCTAACCCACCACCACAACAGCAACAGCAACAATGACACCACCCTCCCCATATCCTCCCTCCCGAAACGCTTCACAATCTACGCCCCCCTCCTCCTCCTCCCCGTCAACGCCCTCACCACCCCACCCGCCTGGCACACCCTCTACAGCACCCTAACGCCAACCCAAAAGACGACTCTCTACGAATGCATCCTCGCCGCCTTCTCCCGCTACAAGCTGACCCACATCGCCATGAACGCCCCCATCGCATTAACCGACGCACAAGGCACCGAGAACCGCATGCGCAGTCCCGGCGGCCTACTCCCACTGCACGGGGACTTTGGGCCCGCGCCCAGCACAATCCTAAACCTGGACTCTCCAACACCAGAGGACCTGGGACGCGCGTTCTGGGTAAGCACGGTGCAGAATCATGGCATTGAGCAGATCTGGGCGCCTATGTATACGATGTTCTCGAGGGGGAATGTTACGGAGAAGGCGCGGATATTGGGGGAGGAAGGGATGGAGGGGTTGAGGGGGGAGGATATTGAGGGGCAAGGGCAAGGGATAAGTGTGGTGGATATGTATGCGGGGATAGGGTATTTTGTGTTTTCGTACCTCAGGCGCGGGGTGAGGAGGGTTTGGGGATGGGAGATCAATGGGTGGTCTGTTGAGGGGTTACGGAGGGGGTGTGTGGCTAATGGGTGGGGATGTAGGGTTGTTAGGGTTGGTGAGGATGGGGTGTTGGAGGGTGGGATGGGGGTGGAGGAGTTGGTGGATGGGTTGAGGGATGGGGAGGATGGGGATAAGGTGGTGGTGTTTCATGGGGATAATCGGTTTGCGGCGCGGGTTTTGGCGCAGATTAGGGATGTGATGCAGGTGAGGGGGCGGTGGGCGCCTGTTAGGCATGTTAATTTGGGATTGTTGCCGTCGTCGGAGGCTGCTTGGGGGGATGCGTGTCGGATGGTGGATGGAAGGTTGGGGGGTTGGTTGCATGTGCATGAGAATGTGGATGTGAGGCGCATTGAGGAGATGAGGGATCGGGTCACCAGTGAGATTGGGAGATTGAGGGGGGAGGCTTTGAAGGTGGAAGGTGAGGTCGTGGCGGAGTGTCGGCATGTTGAACAGGTCAAGACGTATGCTCCGGGGGTGATGCATTGCGTGTTTGATGTCAAGGTGCCGGCGCTGGAGTTATAACGTTATAACGCTCATAGACGCTTCGTTTGGATTGGGTTGGCATTATTTCCCAAGGTATAACCACCCCCGAGGATGTTCGTCTCATCACACATTTATTATGTACAATATCATCATCAACTATAACAACAACAACATAAGAAATCTAATGTACACTCATCTAAGCTTGCTTGAGGAACTTCTGCGGTATGTTGGCCTCGACGATCTGCATGCTCTCGAGCTGCTCGAGACGCTCCATCGCCAGATCTTCCTCGTCGTGCCGCCGGAAGTGCTCAATGTCTTCGGGGTGGGTGAGCTCCTCCTCTGTCGCATCTTCGCCATGGTACTTCTCGAAGTGGTGGATCTCGTACTCATACTCAATGTCGCCGTGGTGGCCCGGACCGAATCCCAGATCGGGCAGCCGAGTGCCCTCGGCGATGATGCGCATCCAATTGTCGCGGGTGATGAAGCCAGTATTCGTGGGGTCGAAGAGAGTGAACACTTCTCTTAGAGCTTGGCTCTTGCGATCCTCCGTGGCACCTGCATTCGTCTCATCGTCCATGCCGTATGTCTTGCGCACTTCCTCGGGAGTCCATGCCCCGGATTCATCATAGTCGTGAAGCGAGAAGAAGGAAGCAGCGTCGAAGGCATCAATGTGATGCTCCTCTGTTTAATTGGGGCCAGAGAGTCAGTCACATATTCAATTGCTTCCCTTTCGGGACGGATATCAACATGATAGATAGTGATGTAGTAAATACCTTGCATATGCCGGGTGGCCCAATCCGACGAGGGCGGCTGGTCGGGGTGAGAACCGTGGGCACTCACCAAGCTGCCGCTCAGGGCCAATAGAGCAGTAGCGAGGACGACAAGCATTGTCGGGTGAGGATATACTTATTTATAGAGCCACGAGCGGCCAGGCGAAGATCCGACGAGTCGTAAATTTGCAGAATGAATGAGATCTCGCGAATGTGACAGATCGCCGGGACAAAGAAAGGGATGGCTGATTCCATTCCAAACCAGACCAAGTCAAGCCAGTCAGTCTTGGTTCCAACAGCTGGAAGTTCCCCCGGTTTGTTTGGTTTGCATTGCCGGTGGTCCGACTTTCGTTTAGCCGGTTTTGGATCATCATCAAAAGATTCTCGACCTTCCGCCCCGATATTTCCTCCCCCTCCGACCCCCTTCATCTTCCCCCCGACGTCGATTTTGTTCCCGCCATTGGTCGTCGGATCCTTGTGATCAATCAATTGGTCACATTCCCCATCCTCTGATTCTCGTCATTGGAGTCGGTTCACGGCAGAAATGACTTGAGAATGCAAGGTCTTTGGTCCCGCGCCGCTCCGGCGCAATCCACCTGCCGCTGCGTCTCTTGCTTAAGTACCGTCTCCAATGGGGTGGCCTCGAGAGGTACTTCGGCTGCCAGCAAGAAACGCCTCCGGCTCGGAAACTCGGTAACAGCACTATACACCAGCATCTTCGCCGCCGCTGCTTTGGCAGACGCCCAGGCCAAGGGCCAGCGCCGTCACGAATGGGAGGAAAAGATTGCTGCCGTCAAGGAAGAGGTCATTGAGCTGGTGGATGAGGAACAGCGTCTGGTGGAGGCTCTAATGTCGCGTCGGAAGCAGGGATTTCTCAATGGAACGATACAGACCAGACAGTTCAGCACAGCGACTCGCCCGGCACCTATGAGATACCAATGGCCCAGGAGGAACGCACCGTTTGCATCGTTCCACTCAACGACTGCCTTTGCGAATGAGAGGGATAATCAGATAATCCGTGATCTGGTCGCAGAGAGCGAGGATCCGCTGGCCGAGGACGCGAATGAGGACTATGGCCTTTCGCTGGAGGATGACGATACGCCCACATGGCTTACTGGTGATGTGGTCCGCCAGAAGGTCATCCGGAAGCTTGCGCTCAAGCAGCTAGCCATTAGACTTCTGTTGCGGCCGGCAATTGCTCACAGCTACCACGGGGTTCAGATGAACTACAGTGCCGACTTCTCGATACCCCAATTGAGAGTGCCGCAGTTGCTAGCGGAACTGAACAGCCTTCGGCGCAGAATGCGCCAGGTGAAGGGCTCGGAGAAGGCTAATATTGATGATTTAGCCAAGGACCTTCGTGTGCACTCGATACGACATATGACGGAAGAGCGGAATCGGCTCGATCGGGACGTCCAGCGTGATACCGAAATCTATATGCGGAATGAGATGCCCTTGCAGGAACTACTCCTCCGGCTAGCCAACAACCTGATGCAGTGCACGGATCCAGACCGGCCAGAAGTCTTAAAGAAGATGATTCTTGCGTTCACCAAAACCCGTCAGAACGATCTCTGTGATTTGATCTTGAAGACCATCCTTCCGCACAAGTTCCCGCTCAGTGCCTCTCTTATCCTCACGATCCTTACCTTCTTCCGCAAATCCAAGAACCTCATGGGTTTCGACATCTTCCTGGAGATGTTGAACGGACACGGCTATCCGGTAGACATGAATGGCTTGGGTCTGTATCAGCGCCAGGTGGTCAATGGAGTTGAGATCGTCGTCCCACCAGTGGATTCGGCGAACCCTGTCATCTACGCCACCCTTATTGTGTCTTGTCTGCGCTTCGATCAGCCGGATCGTGCCGATGCATACCTCCTAGCTGCGAGATCCGCAGGGCATATGGACGACTTTGCAATTCTCAACTCTTACTTGCGGTTCTGTGCTATCCGCACCGACTGGGAAAAGGGAGTGCAGACCCTGAAAAGAACTCTGGCGTTCATGGTCTCTTCAACAGAACACCAGCTCTTCCGCCTTGAACGACTCATCGTGCTAATGGTACACATGTGCGATGCCTGCGAGCAATACGACATGTCCGAAGCCATCATCACATCGGCCATGAACAGCGGTTTCAATTGGGAAGCAGCCAGCAAGCAACTGGACATCATGTCTTCCCACGACCCCCACCACAAGAGATGGTCTTCGGCAGCGGAGGCCGCACCAAAGGACATGCAAGATAAGCTCGCATGGGAGAAAGCCTACGCCTTCGTGAACGTCATGAACGAGCGTCTGAGCGCCTACGAGGGCAAATCGCCCTCCAAAAAGTGGCAAGACATGATAGAGCTCTACTCGCAGCAGGTCCTAGACGCCATGCTCGCCGGATCCCCAGCGTCAGCCAACGCCCCTAAAGTTCCCGAGCAAGTCTTCGAAGACAAGGACCGCCAGAGCCTGCTCCAAGAAATCAGCAAACAAGTCGAAAAAGCCAAGAAGGAGAACGAGTCCACAGCCGCAGCCCAAGAACAAGAGATCACCTCCCTGAAAGCCGAAATCTCACAACTCAAACAAATGGTCTTCGACCTCCACCAGACCCGCAAACAGGAGTCCACTATACCGTCGCCCCCTCCTTCTCCCCCTCGCTCTACCCACCACCAAGACCACCTCCTCCGTCGAAAACACGAACACATTGCTCCTGCGCCGGAACTCGAATCTTCCTTCAACAAAGTCAGTATTCGATACATGAAGTCGTAGACTCAGTCACCTCAGCCCCTTGAGGCACTCTACGCTACTTTCTGTGCAACGAACAATTGCGTTCCTCAGAGCACCCTCTCATCCGCCCCTTTTTCTTCCCCCTCCCCCAGCTCAAAATCCAGATGGAACGTACTCCCTCCGTATACCCATCCCATCCTATCCTATCCTATACTACCTTATACCACTCATGTACGGTGAAAGTGTCGATGATAAGCTCGCCAATTTCTGGCCAGCATTGGGATTGCTTTGGATGTTTTTTATATCCCTAGGTAGTCGAGTCATGCTACCCGGGACATTTTGTACAGTATTCATACTATAGCTTGTACTTTTTTCTTTATTATATTTTTTTGTGACGATAAATAAGGGTTAGAATCGAGCGTTGGGTTTCTATTCCCTTGAATTGGTATTATCCGGTCCAGAGTATTGAATAGAGTGACGAGGTTGTCAGTATTGTCTTTAGACTTGAGAAGCTCCGGGGCTCTCGCTCTCTAGTGTTATGCATAAGTTACTATTAGCGGAGTAAGTCTGCTGCCCTGTCATTTATTGTACTGGACGAGGGCATTTTGATCGGTTTGAGGTCTATTGACTATAATCTACATTGAGGTGAAGTTTTGTGTACACTACATGTCACGGGACAAACATTCTCTCTTTATAAACCGTACCTATATCTAAGTCCGGAGGTACATGCGTTGAAGTGGAATAAATACTGCAAAGTCCCCGGGAAGACCAAAGTCCGTAACAGAGTAAGAAAAGGCCCGGAGACATGAAGAAAATAAAGTAACAGACGAATGTATAAGTACTGTGAATAAGATAAAAAAAAATTGGGAAAAAGGAAGAACCGGATACACCCTTTTTAATTGAGCTGCATGATTATCATGGGCATGAAATAAAGAAAACATGATCTATAGATATCGTGACAACAAAGAATTAACCTAGTCTATCGTCTTCTGCTGGAATCTGAGCGCATCTTCTCCTTGCGGGAAAGTCTCTCGGCGGCGCGAAGAAGGGAGGAGCGGATCTCGCCCTTGGGGAAGCCGGAGATGTCGTAGTAGGTGGGTGCGATGTCCTGGTTGACGCTGGGTTAGTATCTGTCTGGGTGTCTGGTTGAAGAGTTAAGGTGAGACTTACAATGAGCCATTCGGGCTTGACGGCCGTGACAGTCCGAATGTAGTTCTTGGTGGTGAGGACGAACTCGTTGTAGAGAACCCATTCTGCTTCGTGACCCAGGACGGTCGAGGGGTGCAAGAGAACGTTCTGGTTGTCCTTGATCGTGACATACATGTTCTTGCCCTGAGTCTCCTTCTTGGCGACCTGCATGAAGAAGCCGGCGCACAGCGCACGGCGAATGTTTTCGTAATACTTCTTGTCCTCGAAGGGGGTCGACACCATCTCGAGTTCCTCACGCTCCATGATGCGCAGAAGCTGCATGCGCACGTTGTCTGCGGATTGAAGCGATCTCAGAGAGAGGAAGTGGTCGTGGCACCATTGCTTCAGGTTCTCCTGCGCTTCAGGGCTCTTGAAGGCATGGTAGACATTGAGAAGGGTAAGGTGGTCACCGTCGGGGTGGGTGAAGAGATCCTTCATCTCATCGGCACGCTTCCGCTGAGAAGCAGGTCTGACGAAGACTTGCGGGACGGAAAGCAGGGCTGTGATCGAAAGGATTTCGTTGGAGCAGTAGAATTCGGGGGAGCTGATCAGCATCACAGCAAGTGCGGGATCAAGGGGGAACTCAGAGGCCAAGCGACCCAGCTGAGTGAGGTTTCCATCATCGTCCAAGCAAGCCAGATAGTTGAGTTCCTCCAAAGCTCTCATCAGAGTCTCCGGAGCAGGAGGATCCATCAGATCGAAGTGGACAAGATCATCAATGCCTAGCTTCTTCAACTCCAGCACGGTAGAAGAAAGATTGGAGCGCAGGATCTCGGGGTATGTCTGATCGATGAGTTCCTTCTTGAAAGCTCCTTCAGTGTACAGACGGAAGCACTTTCCGGGGCGCGTACGACCAGCACGACCAGCTCTCTGTTGTGCGGAGGCCTTGGAGATGGGAGACACCAAAAGAGACTCGACACGGATACGGGGGTTGTAGATCTTTTGCTTCGAGAAACCAGGATCGACGACGTAGACGATACCGTCGATGGTAAGCGAAGTTTCAGCGATGTTGGTGGACACAATGACCTTCCGGCCGGGACGGCCTCCCGGACGGCGGGCAGGGGGAGCCGGTTCGAAAATGCGCTGCTGCATGTGCGGGGGCAGACTACCGTAGAGAGGGTAGACCTTGATGGGACCAGCATCGGCCTCTCTTACCATTTCATCGGCTTCTAACGAGATCTTCCGTGAGGCGTCTTCAATTTCTTCTTCACCAGTCAAGAAGAGAAGGATATCACCTTCGTCTTCTGTCGCGTGGATCTGCAGGACGGTGCGAATGGCAGCTTCAACGTAGTCCTGCTCGGGTTCAGGGGTATAGAAGATCTCGACAGGGTGAGTACGACCGGGAACCGCAAGGAGAGGGGCATCGTTGAAGTAACGCTGGAACTTCTGTGCATCCAGAGTAGCAGACATGATAATGATCTTCAGGTCAGGCCGGCGCAGCACAACTTCCTTGAGAAGACCCATGAGGACATCAGTAGCCATTGTTCTCTCGTGGGCCTCGTCCAGAATAATGGTACTGTAGCGGTTGAGATTGTGGTCGTTCATGGCTTCTCTCAGAAGCATACCGTCCGTCATGTACTTGAGCACAGTCTTGGAACTGGTCATATCTTCGAAACGGATGCTGTAACCGACTTCCTCTCCAAGCTTGACATCCAGCTCGGCGGCGACACGTTGAGCAACGGACATGGCGGCGACACGACGAGGCTGGGTACAAGCAACCATCTTGCGCTGAGTTTGCGGCATGTCATCGAACAGGACGAATTGAGGAATCTGCGTGGTCTTTCCGGAACCAGTTTCACCAACGAAGACCAGGATCTGCGACTTTTGGTAGAGCTCCAAAAATTCATCTCTATAAGGAACATATAGTTAGAACCCATTTGCGATGTGGCAAACCATCTGCACAGGTATGGAAAACTCACCTCTGAGCATGTACGGGAAGATCGCGACGAGTCTGCAGGATAGAAACATATTTGCTGGAGAAGGGTTGACCGTTGAACGGGTTGATATCACCATCTTCCACCTTCTTAGCCAGCGCAGCGGTGGTCTGGTGCCTCTTCATCTTCCCAAAGGCGGGGTGAAGATCTGTGGTGCCATCGGTCCATGTGTTGGAGTTGCCGTTGTCCGCATACATGTGAGCCAGGTACGGGTTGTCCTTGGGATCGGTTTCAGTCTTGTCCATCTTTTGACGTTTAGCACGCGAACCGTTCTCAGAATCCGATCGTCGATCAACCATGACGGCTAGCAGAGAGCGAAGCCAGGGATAAAATTGGGGGGGGAAGAAGAGGAAAGAAGTTGGCTGCGGAGCGACAAACGAGAGATGGGATTGTCGCCGAACGGCTTCAGAAAAAAAAGGCGGCCCGGATAGGCAGGTCGGCCGCCCTTCGCCACAACTGCAGTTTGCGCGCCTCACCGCCATTTATTCTGCCGCTGGAAACCCCACAGAAATCGCTTACCGCCGGCAAGGGGCACCCAGGCATCCAGGCATGAAAGAAAGTCCGTCGCGATGCACGTTTGCTCAGGTACGCGGGGCTATCCAGGAGCCCATTGTCGCGCGACGTTCCCACTGAAGGGGCGTTTAATCTCGGTTAGCATCCCTACGCGACTGGACCTCCTCCTTTGCTCTCCCATGTTTGTTGCCGTTCTTATATCAGAACCTGCCTGGCCTTGAGATGAAAACTGCCGGAAACTCAATTGATCTGCGATGCGGGACTAACCAGCTACTACCTAGATAGAGACCGTTGTCAATATTCATCGCCTTTCCTTCCCTATATACAGTCCGATTAACAATTTTCTGCCTCATGATATCAGCCTATGTGTCTGCTGTTTAGTTGCATTTATCTTTGTCATATCGCCCCGTCACCAGGTCCCAGTGCCCTTTTCTCGTCTTAGAATATCCGCCGTTGTCGAAAATGGACTCTTTCAATCCAGAAGACATGGCTCCTAGTTTTTGCATCGGACAGCATGAAACCAACCGCAAGAACCCAATTACGGCTGCAATCGTACAGGCAGCCCATGAAAGCAATGTACACATATCTTCGTGCAGATTCCGGCTCGTGTGCTAACTTGGATCACTCAGTATGACATGCTTACGGCACCAATTACCACGGAGGCCTTCCATTCACGCATCCTCACCCTGTTAGGCTCCAAACCAAACGCTCCTTTAACTCCGGCTGCCAATGGGACTTTGATGACGACCGATAATATGCGCCCCATCTTTATTCCTCCCTTAACTCCCGCGGATAGCCACTTGACCCCGGATGAGACGATGTCGCAGATAGTCGGAGTCACCAGCGGTTGGATCGATCTATGCTCCCCGGATCCCCTGATTGCAGACATCTCGCGTCAGGTGTTCATGCGGGAGGTCGCGTATGCAGCTTTTTGTGGCCTCGGGTACCTCTTGATACCTGGCCCGAAACTGCACCATGGAGAGATCCATGCAGAAGGCGTGAGCTACTATGCGAGAGCGATACAGGATGCTATCAACCTCGCTCCTTACATACAGTTTCACATTTGGATGCCTATGGTTGATAACCCAGACTTGGAAGTAGATGGAATAGCCGATCTGTCTCGCCTTGCTCGTCAGGAGTTCCTTGGAGAACCGCTCACAGGGCAGCCATTGCGAGTGGATCCTTTCGGCACTTGGGATGCTTGGGACATGATACGAAGAACTTGTAAATACCACTCCAGGCTTGTCGTAGGTAAGATAATCTCCCATGGTCTTCATTCTGCGTCTCCTACCTGCTGCTAAGATGATATGATTAGCACTTTCAATGCCTAAGCACCTCCCTCCCATGTCCGTGCAGTCTCGCTGGTATTCCGAGCCTGTACACATGCTCACCTTTGATGCCAACACCTTCATCAAGAACCAGAAGGGTTATCCCGTACTGTCCAAGACACACCAGGCGCTCATCGGTCGGTTCATGCGCCTACGGACATCCCCATGGATCCTGCTCTGCGATGTTGGCCCAATCCCAGGCGTAGATGAGCAAGAAACTACAGGAACCAAACTCCCCGCTCTGTCCGGCTCTGATTATCCTAGTCTCACTCAGGCCGCGGTATCCAACAAGAAGCATTATGACCCGACCCCTCATCTTTCCTACCTTAGAAATCTACAGCAACGCCAGCCTTCTCGGAGCGCCATGGAGAGGTTTGGAGTTGGATACCAAGACTATCTTCAGGCGCCCTTGCAGCCGTTGACTGTCAACCTGGAAAGCATTACTTACGAGGTATTCGAGAAAGATCCTATTAAATACAAATGGTATGAACGCGCGGTCGCCAAAGCTCTTACCGACTGGGCAAGTGAAGGGAAGCCAACTTCGAACCCCGACGGCCGGGTGGTTGTGGCCGTGGTTGGTGCGGGTCGAGGACCGCTCGTGTCGCGGGCGCTCCAAGCCAGTGTCGAGACTGGGGTCAAGATTGACCTCTGGGCAGTTGAGAAGAACACCAATGCTTTCGTCCTTCTCCAACGCCACAATGAGCAGAAGTGGGGTGGACAAGTCAAGCTTGTGCAGTCGGACATGCGAGCCTGGAAAGGCCCGCAGGTTGAGAAAAAGCATGACTCGGGAGCACAAACAGGACCGGTAGGGCAATCCCTTGGGATCGAAGATTCATTACTTTACAATGCCAACGAGGAGCAGGAATCGGCACAGACGTCCGAATCAGCAGCCGCGCCCCCCGTCACCGAGCTCGTTCCCACTACGATCGACATTCTGATCTCAGAGCTGCTGGGCTCGTTCGGCGACAACGAGCTTTCGCCAGAATGCCTTGACGGCGTAACGCACTTACTCAATCCTGTTCACGGTATATCCATTCCGGCTTCCTACACGGCTCACCTTACACCCATCGCGGCGCCGAAGCTCCATGCCGATGTCATGAATCAATCCGTCTCTAACCCAGCAGCGCCGGAGACGCCGTATGTGGTCATGTTACACGCGATCGACTTCCTCTCCACGAATCAGCCCTCTGCAGCTACACTAATGAACTCCAGCCATGGGGGCGCTAAGTATAGTGCCCGAGACTCAATCTCCACGCTACCGGGTTCTGGAGAAGCGCCCATCCCATTCGTGCAGACGACCTGGTCGTTTGAGCATCCCAACCGGCATATCCCCCCTCAATTGCCGACCACGTCAACGATCTCCAATTCGCATAACGTGCGCCGGACTCGTCTGTCATTCCCAGTCTACAACCGCGGAGTGTGCCATGGCCTGGCGGGGTACTTTGAGACGGTGTTATACCGCGACATCGAGCTGTCCACCAACCCCGTCACAATGGACACCAAGAGTGCCGACATGATCAGTTGGTTCCCGATTTACTTCCCATTGAAGGTCTGTCTTTCCTACATATTAGCTTTACGACGCGCGAGGCTAACAATCTGCTATCCACAGACCCCTCTAAATGTCCCCGACAATGGCGAAGTGGTGGTGACCATGTACCGGCAGACCGACGACCGCAAGGTATGGTATGAGTGGATGGTGGAAGTATTCGCCGTAGAAGGCAACGACGAAGAAGTGGTGATGAGTGGGGGCAAAGGTACATCTCCAGCGGCTGGCAATCTGCAGCGACAGCCCCAGCGATCACGTGGCGGGCGACGTGTCCGGGTTGGGACGAGCGAGCTGCACTCCAGCATCAAGGAGGGTTGCCTCATGTGATGCGGTGAAGTGTAGAAGAAAAGACGGGAAGGCTGCAGAAGCAGACGAATCTGACTAAGATGTGATGATGGACATTTTTCTTTATACAATTACATATGATGAAGAGTAGTTAAAGCATACCTATGAATTATTCCGATCGGGAAGGGTTGATGATCGCCGAAGAAGGCCTTGTAAGAAGTCAGCTCAACTGCATCGGATCTTCAGCCCGTCCGCTTCGGTCAAGACTAGGTCGAGTTGCATCGTAGCCTGGCTGGCTGGACTTGCACGGGTTTTAAGCAACTACATAACAAGCAACTTAAGTTAACTAGTAACCAGCTAACTAATCCTATCTGACGTGATAGTCAATCTCGCTTAGTAGTTCAGATCAAAAAGAAAAAGCCTAGTTACCAAAAAGAAAGTAAGAAAAACCCAAACCTAAATCCGAACCTACTATCATATCTTGTCCTCCCCCAACAATCCTACTTGTTTGTTCGTGTTTGTTTGTACAATAGATGGAGGACCAAAACCACCCATCCATTGAAATTGATTGACAAGGGCCCAAAACCCACCGTCTGCCTCACTGCAGATGAAAAGGCTACCATTGGTTCCTTCCTCCCCGACCGAGCATAGTTACTATGTACTTATGGAGAGGATGGAAGGTGCACTAATGTATCAGTGCGTCTTCCCCCCGGATGGGTACTACTAGTAGTTAGTAGGACGTGGCTTCGTCCCATTTGGAAAATGTTGAGAAGAATGATGGAACCGAACTTTTTCTTTCCCTAATCCTGCATGATTTTAGTTTACTTGGCTTTGGTTACGCTTGTGCATAAAGTATGCGTTATGTATAATGTAGTACGCAGTACGCAAGTACGGAGTAGTAGATCCCGTATCTATTTAGTAGTATCTAGGTAGGTCCGATTGCCCTGCCTAAGAATTCAGAAGGGGCGTGAATACAGTAAGTATGTTTATCCCCAGCAGATAACGTATTCGCTGTGCATCCTTCTTTTTCTGCTTCTTTTCCTTATATTCACATAGATAGTTACTCCTACTAGCTATAGGTATCCATGTACCGACTACCTAGTAGTAAATAGTAGTAGTCTTGGCTTGGCTGGCTGGCTGGACCATACATACATACATACAGTTACACCAACTAGTACCTCGCAGTAGACAGATTCTATCTATCTACTTACCCATCTACCCATCTACTGCCGGTGGGGGGCGCAGTACATGCAGTTGAAGGAGGAAAGCCCAGATGTAGATCGGAACATGTAGCCAAGCCAACCAGACGACCACTAGTGCGACAAGACTATTCGGACCAAGAACTTCTTGGGGCGGAATGGGACAGTCAGTCAATCAGTCCGTCAATCAGTTGGGGGTTTGCGGATCATTTCTCTCCTTCCTTCTTCTTTCCAGGCTAAATTGTGTTTTTAATCCTTCTTGGAACGGAAAAGGGGGTATGTCCGTCTGGGAATAAGGTGTCTACTACTACTCCGTACTGTTGGGGGATGTGCTCTGCTCGGCGCGGCAGGGCGGGCAGGGCAGGGCAGGGCAACGTGATGCAACGGACCCCTGTGGTTGGTGTTATCGGCATGAGGAAAGAATCATTCCGATTCGATTGATTAGAATGAAGCTGCGTGGGCTTATCATTACTACCGTCTATTTGCAGTGAGTGATGATGAGATGGGGCTGGACTGGGCTGGGCTGGACATTTCCATTCTCTCTTTCAGTTCCCATCTAGGCCGGTGAAGGCGTCATTGATATCCAAGCGTTGAGAGGGAGGGGAGGGGAAAGGTATACAGTGAGTGACCGAGTGGGTGGAAGACTAGGTAGTCCACCGTTCTCCGTAGCTTCCTGTAAAGTCTGTAACAGTGATCTGGCTGCTACTAGTATCTTCTAGTGTGTATCGGTTAGAAGGCCCGACTCCAAGCGTGGTGGGAAGTTGGCCGTAGTGTCCGGTTTAGTTATTCTTAGCCATTCATCTTATCTTGGGAGGGCGCTGGTGCCTCCCACACTAAATGCCTATTGAGTATGTATGTCCACCCAAACTTCCAGCCACCCGGGGAATCCACACCGTCTGGGATAGACCTATTACTCCTTCGGCTTCCTGTCACGGGGAAGGATTATAGTTCTGGCTGTCCTCTCCCCGGCTTTCTATTTGGCCGGATTTTATATTAATGGGGGTGCGATGAGCAACAGCAGGAGGATAAGCTTGCTGATGATGATGCTGATGTGATGCTGATCCTGTTACTTGATATTGATGATTCAGAGGAACATGATAAAGCCCCCCTCTCCAAGTCTCCATAATATTCTTCAGAAATAGTCCGGAGTTAAGCGCACGCCGAAGGGCGGCCGAACCAAGGGGGGGGGAGACCTCCGACAGTCGGGCGGAAGGGGCCCGTCTAGGAGCAGCTGCAGACCGGTACTAAGTAGATTACCCTCCATGAAATTCCCATGGATGATTGCTTGGGAGAAACTCCGCTGGGGGTGGAAATAGAGTCCCTGCTGGAGACCCCCGTAATGAAACGGTTTTCGTTCGTCTTCCCCCGGTTTGTCTGGGCGTTCGGAGCTCCGAGGGTCTGTCACACCTTACCTTACGGTATCAGCCATTCATGCTCCAAACCCGCACATCCCGCCAATCCTCCCCCTCCGTTTCCCCCATACACGCTCAGTCCAAAAAAGTAACTTAACTTACTTGCCTCCATCCACGCCCAGAGGCGAAAAAAAAGGGAAGTAAAAAAAAATAAGGGAAAGCAGGGGGAAAAAAAAAAAAAAAAGAAGACACCACACCCACCACACAGCCTCTCCCTCCCACACCTTTCTTCTCATTCATCATCCTGCAGCCTGTCAGCATTACCCTGTCTCTGCGACCGCAACGCACTTCTTTTACTCGTCCTTTTCCCTCCATGATTGCCTGTGTGTCCTGTTGCTCGACCATCGCTTCGGAGGTCGTGGGTTGACGCAGCTCTTTTTCTACTTACTTACCTACCTACCTACCTACTTTACCTCTTTCTCTCTGACTACAACTACTTCAATCTCCACTCCCCCAGCGACCTGTTTGACCTGTCTTCGGATTCCCTCCGTCGCGCTTCCGACCGGTTTCTTCTTATCAGTCCCTCCACCCGCCGATTTCTTTATTTCCTCCCCAAACCGGAATCACATCACTCTTTGTATCCCACCCTACAATTGTCGGCTTGTTGTACCCGGCCTGAAATGGTTCACTCTACGAGCGAGGAACGCGCTGTACATTTGACACGGGAGGCTGTTGAGTTAATTGATGCTGGCCATCGTGAGGTATGTCTGGTTTGCCCTCTTTTTTTTCTTTATCAGACCCCGCTGGGTGGTTATCTTCCGTCGCCAGCATAGGTACCTTCGTGCCATGTGACTAACCACTTGCTCGTGATGTCATTGCAGGCCGCCTCACGAAACCTCCGAGAAGCTCTCTCCTTGGCTCCAGAGCATCCGGCAGTCAAGGAAGCTTTTGTTAAGATCCAGCAGGAAGAGGAAAATGGCCATCACCTGCTAGATCTCTGTCGACGCTATACCGGTGGCAAGGACGAGCCCGCGGGCAAAGACGCCGCCCTTTATCTCCGTACCGACGGACTCAAGCCTCCCGAGGAGGTTGCATTGGAATGTGTCAAGCTCCTGCTGGCGCAAAGGCCCCATGCCTTGTCGTCGCTGCAGGATGACATTATCTCGGGGCTCGTTCGCCAGAACACCAGCGTGCGGCGCTACTTCTCAGAGCAGCTCCAGGTGTCGGTGACCACGTTCTTCGATGAGATCTATGAAAGAGGCGACGGGGCTGCCGTATGCCTCGACACCGTTGTCTTGGACCCCACCGTTTGGCCGTCCGAAGATGCTCGTCTACACTGTGAGCGCGAGCTTTTCTTGCTCTTCATCGCCAAGCTCATGGAGTCGGGCCACGACATGGACGGTCGCTCCCTCAAAGGAATTGCGCGTTTGCTTGCCGTCGATGCGGCAAAGCTGCAGGAGTTGGTTGACGATGAAGGACTTGATGTGATCTTGTCCTCTTTGGACAGCCGTCTTCCCCTCGAGTGGAGAAGTCAAGCGACCCTAGCAACCGTCAAGTACCTCGAAATATCCAAGCAAGTTGGCGAAGAGAGGTTCTCTCGGCTCGTAACTGCCAAGGTCGTCAAGGGTCGCAGCGACGATCTCATCGAGGCATTCTCGGCCACGGCTGCAGTCTTCCCCGTGATACCAGAAGTTGCGGCCAATCTCTTCCTGTCGGAGAGCTACTTGGCTGCTTTGGCGCCTTTGACCTCCAGAGACGCGAAGAGCCGCAAGGTCGAGCCCCATTTTCTGGAATTGTTGAATGCTGCGTGCATGAACAAGGCCTGTCGGGAAGCCATTTCAAAGCATCTTTCGACCTGGCTTTCCCACCTTCTTACCAATGGCTGCGACGAGAGTTCCGAGATGGCGGCAGTCATTCTGGCCAAGGTCCGTACTGCTGCTCAAGTTGGTTCTTCCGACTCCAACGGCAAAGTAGAGGAAGAAAACAGCAGGGTCACCGAGCTCGTCGATCGCTTCAAGGACTTGATGTCGAAGCGTAAGACTGAGAACCTATCCAACGTGATTGAGGGCTTGGCCTACGCTTCGGTAAAGTCCACTGTCAAGGAACAGCTCGCCACAGACGTGGCATTCCTACAGGATCTCGTCAAGATTCTGCGCGAAAACTGCACCGATTCGTCAGTGCTCTACGGTGGTCTCATGATCATTGTGAACCTCACACAGTTCCCACCCACTTTGACAGAAGAGCAGAAGAAAATGTCCCAACTCAAGTCCTATGCCGAGGCCTCTCCTAGCGGGGCCCGAGCCAAGCCAGACCCCCTTGATGACGAGCAACATGTCATCGCACGTTGCAATGCGCTTATCAAGGCTGGTGTCATGCCTCTTCTGGTAGATTGCGGCAAGACGAATCTCTCCTCGGTGCAAGGTCTCATGGGCAAGATCGTCCTTGCCCTGTCATGGGACCGAAAGTCTCGGGGAACCTTGGCACAGCAAGGCGCTGTCAAGTTCTTGCTCGTTATGGCAGCCGCAAAGCAGGGGACCCCGGGGACAAACGCCACTGAAGCGGTACAGAATGCGTCGCAAGCACTTGCACGAATTTTAATTTCCGTCAACCCGGTCCACGTGTTCCCTTCTTCTGGCTTCCCCCAGATCACATCCGCCATCCGGCCTCTGACCGCGCTTCTGGTAAGCCCGGAGACGACCAGCCTGACGGCGGAACAACCGCGGAATCTTTTACCGGTCTTTGAGAGTCTGCTTGCTCTGACGAACCTAGCCTCTCACCCGGATGAGACTGCTCCTGAAGCTATCGTCCGTCAGGCCTGGCCCGTAGTAGAGGACCTCTTGCTCTCCAGTAGTCCCATGGTTCAGCGAGCTGCCTGCGAGCTGATCTGCAATTTGATGACTTGCGAGTCCGGTATCGTCAAATATGCCGATGGCTCGAAGCGCGCGGCGCAACGGCTGCATGTGCTGTTGGCTCTTACTGACACGGACGATATGGCCACCCGCAGCGCTGCTGGCGGAGCTCTTGCGATGCTGACCGAATTCGAAGCGGCCATTGCCGGTATCCTGGAACGGCCCCGGGGTGTCCCGCTACTGCTGGCCATGTGTCAGGAAGAAGATGAGGGTTTGGTGCATCGCGGTGTAGCCTGTGTGCGGAACATGACCTGCCTTGCCACGGGGGATATTGGCCGGCGGGCCAAGGAAGCCATCAAGGCAAACGGAGGAGTTAATATACTGAGCAGTGTGCTGAAGAAGACGAAGAACCCCGCGATACTCCAAGTCGGGGTCGAAGCCTTGAAGCCATTGGTCGAATAGATAGCCGACAACCGAGCGGCGTGCTTTGCTGGGGTATCTTCCGGCGGTTAATACATCTTTATGATTTCTTTTGAGTGATTTGGATCTGATTGTGATAGCGGTCATGTCGATTTTGCAAGTTCATGGGCTGGGTCTCTGTGATTTTCTTGGTGTTCTGTCACATTCTATGTTGTTCTTATGAAGATTTCCTTATGGCGTTGGTAGTTTACTTGCCCGGTGTTCTGTTCTTTTCTTCTCATGTCACGTTGTGTGACCGATGTCAATTTGTCTATAAATCTGGGTTGTTTCTGAGCGTGGGAATGGTGTCCGGGTCATTGTCGACAAGAATTTGAAGCGATGAGAGGGATTATCGAGTGGGATTCCCTTTTCTGACAGCGCGATAGACCCGGTCGACAGGATTGTTGCCGTGTCTGATTTACCCGAGTAACTATCTACTCGTTCTAGCTGAATGATACTCACGATGCAATGCGCGATTTTCTAGAGGAGCAATTCGTCGGAACCAGAGTGTCCCGTTCGGAAGCGTCCGGATCCTTGTCTCTGCAGTCAGCCCTGATAGGAATCGATGGATATTGGGATGGTGTCGCACTGGCCTCGACACCAGAACACGCCACTTAGAGCGGGGCTCGCTATAGAATCGATGTCCCGTGTAGATGCTTATTGTGTTGCAGTTGGAATTCAGGTCCCTCTTATTAGTAGCTTGAGATTGAAATTCTGGAACGAAAGTACTTATGATGCGGCCTCATACTAGTACAGAGTCGTTGGGATGCCGCTGATAACCGAGAACGTCGGTAGAGTGTTCATAAGCTATGGAATCATATATATACTTAGCTCGCGAGCGTCCATAACTTTTGAAGTATGGCTGACACTAACCCCAAAGATAGTATTGAGTGATTACTTTGTAGTCTTAGTAGTAGTCCTTAGTAGTAGTCTACATAACGAACAGGGTACTATCCGTTATGGAGGGGAGGGGAAAGGAAAGTGACAGATGATAAGCTTTCCCGCTGGTCGATCGTTAGGAAGGAAGCTGAGTGGATGAGAGCAGTGATCAACAAAGTGATAGATACTACATCGGAGTGGGAGGGTGTCGGAAGCAGATGGTCAGATTAGTAGTAGTACATGGTGGTCTGCTCCCCACCCAGTTGATAGGTGAGTAGATACTTTGTAGTAACCTGATAACATAGCTTATTATAGACGAAACCTGAGCAATCAGTAGCATTCCCCTCCAAAGACTAAAACCCTCCGACGAGTGATCACGATATTCAATATCGGAGGAAGGAGAAACCAGAGTCAGGAACACAACCAGCCAGAACTTTTTTTTTTTTTCGGAGTTTCAAAGAAACGAAACCTCACCGACAACTAGAGGAGGGAGCATGTGACGTGCATCATGGTTGAATTCCCACTTCTTCCATCCATTCCATGCAGGCCAAGTTTCCACCCTGAAGTTCCCCCACACAAAGTGGCCCCCCCTTTTTATGATTTTCCCCATTCCCCTCCCTTCCAGCCCATCCATCATCCTGCGCCCAAGAGAAAGCGGTGTTGGGAAAGGAGGAGATGGAGAGGAGATGATGATCATGAGCACCTCTCCCCTTCCTTCCAGTGGCCGACTAATATCTCACGATAGTGACATGATTGGATCCCCTTCAGGCCCTAGGAGTGGGTGGCGGGTCGTCCGGCTATATATAGGGTGGGGATTCTGGTGCTGGATGGGGGTTCCAGACTCATACTAACTCACTCTGACGGGATTGTTACAGAAGTTAGTGTCTATCACTACTGACAAGTAACAAGTTTCAAGTTGGATGAAGATTAAAGAAGAATCTCTGCAACAATAGTGGTGATCTGTTTGGTCCAGTTACACTTTTGCTCCTTACTCGTGCAGTGAAAGGGATCAGCTTCCCTTTAACATACTGGTGGTTTCACCCCAAGGAAAAATAATCATCAGCAGCATCAGCATCATTATCATCATCCATTCATTTACCGCCATTTGAGCTCTCAGATTATTGGCAATCATCCCGTGCCTTGCAAACTCGAAATTTTGCATTGCTTCATCCGGTGGTTCGAACCGCTCATCCGCGCTGCGCCGCGGGCAAATCAGAGAGCGTCCGCCGGGCAGCAGATCCAGCGTCCGGCGATTAATGGCCAACAATCTGGATAAGTCGAGGTGAGTCGCCTGGACTGCCTCTTACGTCGCCAAGTGGAGTTTGTATTCGAAGTATCTTTGTTACTTTGTTAGTCACGATGGAGACCTTGTCTAACTAGCGAATTTCGCTAGCACCGCCTTAGACTTAAAGACTATTTGGCCTCGGCCCTTTGCTCGCCCCTCTTCTCCCTCTCTCTTCTTGCTTGCTTACCTGCTTACTTTAGCTGGGGTGCAGCTGCAATTGCTGGACCTTGCTGGAACTTCTCGAAGCTACAAAAACCCTCCCTCTGGGCACGTGCTGATAGGTTCCGTCGGTTGGTCTCCCCTTTATCGGGATTCGCCTTAACTACTACTTGACGATCAATCAAGTAGTAAGTAGTATATGAACTGCGCTTTCTTTCATCCTTCCCTCTCAACCACACTAATTCCTTCGCCTTGTTTCGTGTTCCTCCTCTTCTTTCTCTTCAACACCTTCTCCTCCGACACACGGCTTTTTCCTGAAGCCGCCTAATTCCTCAGGTTTTCACCTCCCATATTTTCAACTGTCTCTTCTACCATTCTCCATGTCTCCGCAATAAAACTGACACATGGCGCTCTTCTCCTTCAAGCTTCACCTGTCCTTTTCCTTTTGTCTTTCTCGCATTTGCCCGTCGAATAATATTTGATCTACGTGGCATTTACACCGTTGGGTTCGTGGGTTGAAGCCTGTTCTCTTGAATCTCACTGAACCAAAGAAAGCCGTGGTGTCTTAGATCCCAGATTTATATACTTCCCCCCTCTCAGTGTCTTTTTTTCGTTGGTTTCTCTCCCACAAACCGCTCGAAACAACCTGCATACACATTTCGTCAAAAATGAAGTTCGGACGCCAACTATCCCACAAAGTGGTCCCCGAGTGGGGCGATGATTACATCAAGTACAAGGCCCTGAAGAAGCTCATCAAGGCTGCGGCGGAAAAAGTGAAGGCTGGCCAGGAGGCGGACCTTGCTGGTGAGTCGCTCTTCGGATGATTGCGTTGTTCATCACAATGCGATCTTAGCTAACTCTGTCGCTTAGGTTTCTTTTACTCCCTCGATCGAAATCTCGAGGATGTCGATCACTTTTACAACAAAAAGTACGCCGATTTCTCCCGCCGTCTAAAGTTGCTGGAGGACAGATACGGGCAGTCTTTGGATGGTGGTCAGCGATTGGATTCCCAGGATGTCGAAGACCTTCTGGCTGCTCTGCTGGAACTGCGTAGCCAGATGCGTAAACTGCAGTGGTACGGCGAGCTCAACCGTCAAGGATTCGTCAAAATCACCAAGAAGCTCGACAAGAAGGTTGGCGCTCAAGCGCAGCAGAAGTATCTGCAGACCAAGGTCGACCCGGCGCCGTTCGCTTCGAACACCCGAGTCACTGACGCGTTGAGGAAGATCAATGACCGCTTGTCCGTCCTGGGCGAGCAGAAGATCGACGACGATGCGAGCTCCATACGCTCCTCCTTGTCATTGAAGAACGGTCCTGCACGCCCCAACCTGAACTTGCCTGCGAGCATGCTTCAGACCGTCGATGAGGCGCTGCGCAAGGATGATACTCACGTGCTGCTGGAGTTACTTGAAACTCTTAAAGCGGCGGCAGATGAGTCGGGAGAAGATGTATATCCTAAGGTCCTTAGCAGCCTCCTTCAGCGGTCCATCAACTACCGTTCCACCCGCTGCATCTCGGTCCTTCTGGGTCGCATGGACTCTCTGGACGAAGAGGATGATATCAATAGGCGCAATTGTATACATCGCTTGGTGATATCGATTGGCCGGGCGCAGTCTACTACAGACTCAGAGCAGTCTGCGTCCATGGTCCTGGACTTCCCTCTGGAAACGTCCAATTACATCACCCCCGCTGCCCTGCCGACCCTGCAGCCTCCTCGCCCAGTCATAATGGAGGCGGGCCAGCCTAGCCATTTGGATCGGTCCGATCCCTCTGTGTCGGTTCTGCAGCATCTCCTGGACCAGCTCCAGCCCAACCAACGAGGTGCGCTCATCGCCAAGGACATTGCGGGACGCACGCCGCTACACTACGCGGCGCAGTATGGATTCAAGGTTGTCTGCGAAGTCATCATCGAGCATTTGCAGGCGTGGGACCTGTTTGATGTGACCGAGGGCATTGATAGTCCGCGCTGGCAAGACAACGATGGCTGGGCTCCGTTGCATCTGAGTGTTGTTGGAGGCCACCCGTTGACAACCCGTGCTCTTCTCGAGGCAGAGAATTGGCATGGTGCCAACAAGGACAAAGCGAAGATCCGTAAGCAAGTCTCACGGTCTAGTGCAGTGCTTGCTTTGGCCACCAAAGCCAACTTTGTGGACATTGTCAAGCTGTTGGTTGAGGCCGGCGTGGATATTAACTATCAGGACGAACAAGGCGAAACTGCGTTGCATGTTGCAGCCCGGTTCGGCCATGATAAATGCGCCAAGATCTTGCTGGAAGGCAACGGCGAACAAAAGGCAGATACAGAGCTTGCGGAAAACACATACTCCTGGACTCCTTTGTTTATTGCTTGTGTTGATGGCGCGCTGAGAGTAGTGGAGCTGCTCATCCAGGCCGGTGCCAATCTGGAGAGATGCGACTCCTCTGGCTGGACCGCGAAGGAGCATGCGTCTCTGAGAGGTCACCTTGACATCGCGCGGTGTCTTGCCAAGGTCACCCCCGCGCCGACTATCAGTGAATCGGAGCCTGTGATTCCTGTGCCTCCTGTGGCCTCTGATCCGCCCTCTCCTCCCTTGTCGTCGCTTGCTGAGAGAAGATCGAACGGTACTCCTGCCCCGACCTCTCTACGGAATGCAGAGCCTATCAAGACCTTTGGACACAGGTATCTCACCGATGAATCCATGATTTTGGTGAGCCTGGGAACGATGGACATGCGGGCGCATACGGCAGCAGTTAACCTTGACCGGATCCCGATGGAGAATGCGCATTCCACCCAACTTGACACTGCTCTGTCTTTGGTGGTCTCTGCTAACGGGGCTCATGGAGAGCCGGAGGTGATCGACCTCCCTGTCCATGACAATATCTCCACCGAACCCATTGTCTTCCACGCCGCCGACGCTACGAAGGTCAGGCTCCTTTTTGATCTGATTCCTACGTACGCTGGCTCGAAAGACAAGGTGGTTGGGCGTGGTGTTGCCCTGCTTTCCAGCATCAAACAATCGGTGGGATCGAACCGTATCAACCTCAAGGGCGACTCCACAGTTCCTATTGTGGCTGCCAACACCCTTGAGGTCATTGGCTCGGTGACCTTCAACTTTCTCATCATTACGCCTTTCAAGCATCCCAACATGACGGTTACGGGAGAGCAGACCTATTGGAGGAGTATGAGCTCAACGATGGTGATTGGACATCGCGGTCTGGGCAAGAACATGGCCAGTCGAAATTCGCTGCAGCTGGGCGAGAATACCGTCCAGTCTTTCATCGCTGCCGCGAACCTGGGCGCGTCTTACGTGGAGTTTGATGTGCAGCTCACAAAGGATCATGTTCCTGTCATCTACCATGATTTCCTCGTCAGCGAGACGGGTATTGACGCGCCGGTCCACACCCTTACCCTAGAGCAGTTCCTCCAGTTGGGCGACAAGGGTCCAGCTCGCAGGCCCGGATCCCCATTACCGGGTATGGACGGCATCGGAGAGGGGATGACTACTGCTTTCCGTCAGCGGTCGATGTCCGTAGGCGGTTCCGAGTATGACCCGACCGAACTCAATGAGAAGATCAAGCATACCCGTGATTTCAAGAAGAAGGGTTTCAAGGGAAACAGTCGCGGCAACCACATTCAGGCCCCATTTGCCACATTGGCCGAGTTGTTCCAGAAGCTGCCCAAGTCGGTGGGATTCAATATCGAACTCAGTGAGTACCTCTTCCCATGAAAGAACAGTTACACGACGATCTGACCTAGATCGCCAGAATATCCTATGCTCCACGAGAGCGAGGAAGAAGAGATGGATACGTATGCGGTGGAGCTGAACTCCTTCGTGGACACGGTTCTCACCAAGGTCTACGACATGGGTCAAGGCCGGAACATGATATTCTCCAGCTTCAACCCGGATATCTGCCTGCTGCTCTCGTTCAAGCAGCCGTCCATTCCGGTCCTCTTCTTAACGGACTCTGGTGCTTCGCCTGTGGGTGACATCCGTGCCAGCAGCTTGCAAGAAGCGATTCGGTTCGCGTCCCGCTGGAACCTGCTGGGCGTTGTCTCGCAGGCCGAAGCGCTAGTGCTTTGCCCGCGTTTGGTCCGGGTCGTGAAGGAGTCTGGTCTGGTTTGTGTGTCGTACGGCGCCATTAACAACGACCCAGAGAGCGTCAAGGTATGTATCTCCTACCAGTTGGGTCATCTGTTTACTAACTGCTTGCGTAGCTCCAAGTGGCAGAAGGAATCGACGCTGTCATCGTGGACTCGGTCCTCGCCATCCGTAAGGGTCTCACAGAGCACGAGGGCAAGGGCGACACGCCAGGCGTCTCGCCGCAGCCTAGCCCTCTGGCCAGAGCGACGTCTGGTTCTCTCAAGGAGTCACTCAACATTCCTGTGTTGAACCAAACGGAGCAGAAAGATGACCATCTACATGTGAGGCCGGAGGCCATCACATCTAACCCCCGATAAATAGAGCGTGATTTACCATCTGTTAGAATTTGGATGACATAGTTGAATGCATATTGTTATTATTTTGTTAGTTACTTTCACATGTCTAAGAATGTAGGCTCGTATAAGAGCAGCAAAGTTATATCGGTTCATTCCGCAGTATAGATCACGTGCGCCGGAGATCTTCCAGCTCCGTGCGGCGTCCGAAGTAATCGCATCTCTACAAAAACTTCTCGATCGGTCATTTCCACCTCACCGGCCATCGAGCGCAGCTTCTCACATATCTAAATCGGCAGGTTACTTAGAAAACTCCCTTTGGACTTATACCCGCAACCACACAACCACCACGCAGAATCGAAGCTTCGAAATAACTCCGCACCGCATACACCTCCGAGCTCACCTCCACACGACAATGTATACAGCTTAGATACCAACCAACAGCTTCAACTCTGACCTTCCGTACCTCAACCTCCTATACTAAACACACATATATATACACAAGATGAATACCATCGACGCAACAGAACACTACGAAACCAGCGCCCACGGTACGTCCACCACCACCACCATCCCATCCCACTCCGCCGATCCCGAACCCCAATTCCAATCCCAGTCTCAATCCCAAGATATCATCTCCCCAAACTAACAACAATATACAAAATACAGACCGTCCCCCCTCCCTCCTAACCATCATCCTCGACACAAACCCCCACGCCTGGGCACTCCTATCCCCAACCCTCCCCCTCTCCACCGCCATCGCCAACATCCTCGTCTTCATCAATGCCCACCTAGCCAGCAACTACGCCAACGAAGTGGCCGTAGTATCCTCCCACACCTCGCAAGCAACATGGCTATACCCAGTCGAAAAATCCCCCAACAACAACAACAATAACAACCTCGACTCCGACGGCGACATCCCCATGCCCACCCAACAACCACAAACCCCCTCCAACACAACCAACATAAACAAATACCGACCCTTCCGCATCGTCGAAGAACAAGTCTCCAGCCACCTACACAACCTAATGACCCAAACAACCCCCTCAACCCTCCAATCCACCACCTCCACCATGATGGCCGGCGCATTAACCCTCGCACTAAGCCACATCAACCGGCGCACACTAGCATGGAATGAAGCGCACGGAGGGGACATCGACACCTCCAACCCCAACGACCCATCCTCTACCACATCCACATCATCCTCATCAAATACAAAGGGAACTGCCGAATCAACCCTCCAATCACGCATCCTCATCCTCTCCGTATCCAGCTCCACCGGCTCAGCGCATCAATACATCCCAATTATGAACGCCATATTCGCATGCCAGAGACTTCATATCCCGATTGATGTGTGCAAGGTATCCGGTGATGCGGTGTTCCTGCAGCAGGCGTCGGACGCGACCAAGGGGGTGTATATGGCGTTGGATGAGCCCAAGGGTTTATTGCAGTACTTGATGATGGCGTTTTTGCCGGATCAGAGGAGTAGACGGCATTTGGTGCTGCCGACGAGGGTGGATGTGGATTTTAGGGCCGCGTGTTTTTGTCATAGGCGGGTCGTGGATGTTGGGTTTGTGTGTTCCATTTGTTTGAGTATTTTTTGTGAGCCGTTGGGAGATGGGGTTTGTTTGACGTGTGGGAGTCGGTTGGATGTTAGTGATTATGGGGCGAAGCCGGCTGTGGTGGCGAGGAAGAAGAAGAAGAAGAAGGTCAAGGGGAATGGAGTGTCTGCGGCAGGGACGCCGACGCCTACGCCGACACCGGGGCCGTGAGGGTCTTTGTGGGCGTGGGGTTGTCTACGTGAAGAGGAAGTTGTCTACGTACTGGCTACAGGATGGGCTGGAAGAGGATTGCCAATGAATACTGTTCATTCGGTATCGTCGGCTCGAATTAGCAAATAGTTACTCGCCCCTGCATCCATACCCAGGACCCATGCGGCATCGCTTCAATCTGGATGTACGCTGACACTTGACAACCAAACGGACGGGGCGTGGCCGGCACTGCCTTCGATCATTCTGTCGGCGAACGTCATCGACCCGGAAACAAGCGCTGAAATGCTCACGGATGCCAGATGCACATAGTACGGAAGACGCGGACAGGCTCTATTTCGCTGGTTTAGGGGCCCTGGGTCTGATGTTGTCAGCTTAGCTTGATCTGTATATTAGCTTATATTAGATACCTTTTGGCTCTGCAGGCGCGGCCACCCTGGGCAATTCTGCCGCCCCCGCCATTGCGAGACATGACACACACGGGTTTCTTATCCACGCTACTCATTGACGCGAGGGCCTGACGTAATTAGCATAGACCTCTCTGAGGCGGGGCTCCTTACAAAAGAGTCGGTATTGTGGGCGAAGTGGAGGAACGCTCCGTCGACCGTCTTCTTGACCGAAAGGATGCCAATAGCTCCATTACAGATACTATTCTTGACGCCCGGATGTCCTAATCACCTGTTAGCTTGTAAGCTTCGAATGCAGATAGCGAGTAGTACCCATGAAATCGTTGGAAATAACCGCTCTCATGGCCTCATCTTCGGTAACCTCTTCGAATCCGCCGTCTTCACGCTTTCGATGGCTATAGTAGATGCGTGACGCGCAGGTACTGGCGGCCATGGTCGTTGCAATGTGCTCACCAGTCCCCGAAGTAACAGTCGCAATGCAGGTCGCTTCTGAATCATTAGGATCCACGGGGATTACCGCAGTCCCGATACCAACAAGCGCGGCAGGGCCAATCCGCCCGCGATGCTTCATTCCAATGCCTCCGGAAGAAGAGCCTGCTGCGATGTTTCCTTTACTGTCTATGGCTATGGCGCCGACGGTATCATTGACTCGGTCAATGTCCATTGCGTCGACGCCATGGGGAGCTTCGGCAATAGACAAGTTATCGTGACTCGTAGACATGTTCCCAACAGCAACGGACCGCGCACCATCGGTTTGCTTGCCATCTTTGACCCTGGGGGCAACAAAGGGTGCAAGCTCCGAACCTGCCGGCGGCATGATACGACGTGGGTCTGTAGTGGGTGAGCTCTTGGTACTTTGAGTGCTTCCTCCAGTCGCCGGGGCTGGTCCTGGGCTCGAAGCCGCAGAGAGCAGCTGGGCTGGACTGGCGGTGGGGGGTCGGCGAAAGTGCGAGCTCAGGCGGGTGTGTTCTCCAGACTGCTTCCTCTCCCTGAGAGTAGCGTTTTCCAGATCACGTCTCCAATGAGTCCACCTTTCTCGAGCCGACGGAGCTACTAGGCCATCAGGGGGTAGCACCACCAGCCCGTGTTCGTATGCAAAGTCCGTAGCACCCTGTCCCACTAAGAAGTTTGGAGGTACTCGGGCCAGCGAGAGCGGCTTTGAGGAAGCGTCAAGGATGACCCGTGCAAGGGAGATGGGATTCTTGACCTCTGCACCAGGCCATTAGCACTGAATAGTTGGACCGTACAGATCATTTTGGGAAAGACATGAGATACTCACGACCGACGGCACCCACAGCACCACTGCGTCCTAGATGATTGACAACAGTAGCATCACACTCGACAGTGCCTTCAAGATTGAGGTTGCTACCGTAGCCAGCGTTGGTCATCTCACTATCCTCCAGCACCATGATGGCCATTTCAACAGCGTCGACGGCCGATCCACCGTTCTTCAGTAATGACATTGCTACTCTCGCCGCTCTGCTCCTCGTTAGCTCGGTTCAGACTTGACCTGCGAAGGCGTGGGTTGGGCTTGAGAACTCACTTCTCACAGGTCTCTAGATGCGCTTTCTCGTTGTGCGGGGCATGAAAGCCGGCTCCCGCATGAACGAAGATGGCAGAGATATCTCCGCCTCCTTTTGAGCGACTCATTGTAGAATCCAGTTGCTGGGCTCTCAGGCGAACTGAGAGGTGCAACCTGGAGAAGCACTGGAGAAGACGACGCAGTCTCGGAGGCCGTGAGTGCTTCAGGGCGGGAGGCCCCGGCAACTCACTTGTTGAGGTTCCCTCCGTGGTTTTGGTACACGTAGACTTGCAGGGTTGGGCTTGGTTTCAACACTGGGACGAAGATGGTAGAAGCGAGCAGTAAGAGGGGATGAAGAGAGGAAGAAGCGAACTCGTCAACACACAAAAGAAATATTGACTGTTCAGAGGAAGACGCGGGTCTCTTGATACTAGCTTGCTGCCGGGGCGATTGGTGATTTTCTGATTTCGAGCGGCGTAATTGTAGTGAACGCAGAGGTGAAACGGTGAGTATAACCGTTAAGGATAGGTTTGATATAGTAAAAATGATCACCTAGGATGCGGAGCGGGAGGGAGGGAGATAGGGTGGTAGGGGAAGAAGATAGGAATTGAGGTAGTGGAAGTGTTTAAAAGGTGTTTAAGGATATGGTAGGATTCAATTGTATAAAAGAAGAGGGATGGTGAAGCCCAGACATGTAGATGGGATCATTGGATCAAGTTCCTTCCTCAGCAACTGCATTGGAGGTGGTTTCCTGAGGAGGGTTTACTGTTTTCACGAACATCAAGAAGATGGAGTCTACATTTCAACTTTGAGAACAGAACTGATTCACCTCCCAATGGGAGATAGTCACATGAGGGTACACTACAGGAACCAGGATATTGCCTGACTATGCATTGCTAGTTAAGGTTATCACCAAAAGGAGTGAGATTCTATCTACATGTGGAATTGAAGGTAATAACATCTGCAGTGTATTGTGGATGCAGTGGGTGTACCATACCAAACGTGACGTCGTTACCCGTAAAGTATGGGGCAGCCGCAGTATCCAGGCAGGGCATCCAGGCATTCCATCCATCCTCGAACTGACTGCCCGCCTTCATCTCCATCTCCGTCCCTTTACCCCCCTCCTCTTCCCCTCCAATCCCCTTCTCGTCATAATTCTCGCCCGTCCTTCCTGGCGGAGTTTCTGGATGATTGCGCTCTCATCCCTGCAATACCATTCAATCGTCTAATTTCACCTCTTCCATCTCCTCACTTAGTCCGACCACTGATCAGGGGGAGTGTGCGTGTACTCCACATCATCAATCATGGCTTCCCAAACTCCGGCCGTTGTCATGGACAAGTATGCCCCTTACCATCCCCAACTCACACTTCACTTGCGCGGTCACTAATCCGCTCCTTCTCTCTGCTCAGCGGTACCGGTTATTCCAAGCTTGGTAGGACTCCTGATAGCTTCCACGTGGAGCTCCGCCGGCAAGCTCCAGGCTGACATGTCTCCAGGTTTCGCCGGTAACGACTCGCCCTCTTTCGTCTTTCCCACTGCCATTGCGACCAAAGCTGGTGCCGGAGGCGCTGGCTCCTCCGCTGCCGGTAGACCTCCTGTTGCGAACAAACCCTCCTTCCTAGCTACCGGTGGTGGGGCAGGCTCCCATCTATCCGCGAAGCGTGGTACAGAGGACTTGGACTTCTTCATTGGCGATGAAGCTCTGGCAGCGGCCAACGGGCCCGGATATGCCATCAACTACCCCATTCGCCATGGTCAGATCGAGAACTGGGATCACATGGAGCGGTTCTGGTCGAATTCCATCTTCAAGTACTTGCGCGTCGAGCCGGAGGACCACTACTTCCTCCTCACTGAGCCGGTAAGACCTCCGACTTCTCCAATTGCCCTTCGGCGGATGCGATGCTGACCGGATATTGTGTGCATAGCCCTTGAACCCTCCCGAGAACCGTGAGAACACCGCCGAGATCATGTTCGAGTCTTTCAACTGTGCCGGTCTCTACATCGCCGTCCAGGCTGTCTTGGCCCTTGCTGCCTCCTGGACCTCCTCGAAGGTGACCGACCGCTCTCTCACCGGAACCGTCATCGACTCCGGTGACGGTGTTACACACGTTATTCCCGTCGCCGAAGGCTACGTCATCGGATCATCTATCAAGAGTATACCCATTGCCGGTCGCGATATCACCTACTTTGTCCAGAGCCTGCTCCGTGACCGCGGTGAGCCGGACAGCAGCTTGAAGACGGCTGAGAAGGTCAAGGAGGAGTACTGCTACGTGTGCCCCGACATCGTCAAGGAATTCGCCCGCTACGACCGTGAGCCAGACCGCCTGCTTAAGCACACTGTGACTTCGCCCAACGGCCGGACCGTGAGCATCGATGTGGGCTACGAACGTTTCCTTGCGCCGGAGATCTTCTTCAACCCCGAGATCTATTCGTCGGACTTTTTGACCCCCCTGCCCAACGTCGTCGACGGCGTGATCCAGTCTTCCCCCATCGATGTGAGAAGGGGTCTGTACAAGAACATTGTGTTGTCCGGTGGATCTACTCTGTACAAGGACTTTGGACGGCGTCTTCAGCGTGACATCCGTCATCTGGTGGATGCACGCATTCGGGCGTCGGAGGCGCGCAGCGGAGGTGCCAGAAGTGGTGGACTGGACGTGGCGGTTGTGACACACAAGAGACAGCGCCATGGACCGTGGTTCGGAGGTAGCTTGCTGGGACAGACGCCGGAGTTCCGCAGTTACTGCCACACCAAGGCGGAATACGATGAGATTGGTCCTAGTATTGTGCGCCGCTTTGCGCTGTTGGGAGGCCCTGGCAGTTCGTAAATATGTGGTTCTGTCTATAGTTTAACTTGATATGCTCCTGCTTCTGCCAATATCCGGTGATAGTAAATAGATGACGGTTATCTTTTTGTCTTGATTGTATATACTAAATGTATAGTTATTCTGCTATATTATGTTCAGGACTGCCTCATCACTGCCTCATAATCTACTATCTCATACTTCGGAGATAAATGCCGCTGCATCCTCAGAAATCAAGGAACAGCCATGTGTATTTCTAAGCATTACTTGACTACTCGCATTTCTAAGCAGGAACAGCAACCCAGAAGTAAGCACCAGTAGCACACTACTACTAGTATAGTACGAGAAATCACACCATTCACCAACCAGCGATCTCTCCTAGAGCAGCATAGACCTACTCTAAACCGACTAGACGCCGCACCATACATCCCCCCGCATATACCATCATAGTAGAGAAGTAGCAGTATAAATACCAGCATGATACTTCCCTCACAACTTACTTTCAATCCCACAAACCACTACTACACCCCAATCTTCCCCCATTTAGACCACCCCAAGGACAACTACTACATACATCAAAATGTACCCCAACACCTCCCTAATCCTAACCAACATCCCCACGGGCCTCCCCACCCCCCACAAAGACCTAACCCCCCTCCCCCGCCCCTTGGACATCACCACCCCACCCGCAGACCCAAACGCCCTCCTCACCAAGCTCCTCTACGCCAGCCTGGACCCCTACATGCGCGGGCGCATGCGCCCCGCCCACATCAAATCCTACAGTCCACCATACCCGCTCAACACGCCCATCACGGCCTACAGCGTGGCCCAAGTAGTGCACTCCACGCACGCATCCTTCAAGCCGGGCGAGATCATCTACGCGCGTCTGCCTATCCAGGAATACAGCGTGCTGGCTGTATCTGCATCCCCTGCCCCTACCACCAGCGAAGCCGGAGATGAAGAACAAGAGCAGCTATGGACGCTCGAAAACATCGACGGAGCGAACAGCCCTATCCGGAAGATCCCGACCCCACTACCATCTGGGATTGAGCTGTCCCAGTATGTAGGGATCTTGGGCATGACGGGGTTGACTGCGTACGCTGGGCTGTTTGAGATCGGGGAGCCGAAGAAGGGCGAGACGGTGTTTGTGAGTAGTGCTGCTGGGGCGGTGGGGAGTGTGGTGGGACAGTTGGCGAAGAGGATTGGGTGTAGGGTGATTGGGAGTGCTGGGGGGGAGAGGAAGAGGAGGTATGTGGTTGAGGAACTGGGGTTTGATGATTGTTTTGATTATAGGGTTGAGGGGGCGAAGGAGGCGTTGGGGAGGTTGGTTGGTGGTGAGGGGGGCAGTGGTGTCGATGTGTATTTTGAGAATGTGGGTGGGGAGCAGTTGGATGCTGTGTTGGAGGTTATGAATAATGGGGGGAGGGTTGGTAAGTCTTCCTATATTTATTGGATGTTGGATGTTGGGTTTGGGAAATATGCTGACTGATGATGGGATGGGTGGTAGTGGCTTGTGGAATGGTCTCGCAGTATAATCTCAAGCCGGAGGAGCGGTATGGGGTTAAGAATCTGTATAATGTTGTCACGAAGAGGTTGCGCATGCGTGGGTTTATTGTTGGGGATAAGGATATGGGGCCTAAGTGGATCAAGGAGAGGGATGAGAAGGTTACTGCTGTGAGTGTATCATTCTTCCTGGGTATGAGGATGACTGCTGATGATGTGTAGTGGCTGCAGGAGGGCAGTATCAATGCCAAAGAGGATATCACGGTGGGCATTGAGAATGGTCCCGAGGCGTTTGTTGCCATGCTGCGCGGGGAGAACTTGGGCAAGGCGGTTTTGAAGATTGCTGATCCTGAATTGTAGACTGGACTCGGTTCATTAGTTATGTAGCAGGTTATCAGAAGCACCAGCTCGATAGTAAAGAATAGATGAAACGAAAGTTGCAAACTGCAATGGTATTTGCTCATTGTATGTACGCGAATCTATCAGTCATGTCCCCTTTTAACCACCAACGCCATCAATGTATGAATCTAAGCAGACTCGGGTATACTCGTCTTGTTCAGAATAGCGACTCCCTCAACATGTCCCGTCTGCGGGAAGAAGTCGAATCCCCGAATGCTCTCGATCTCGTACCGGATCTTCTTCTCCGCATCGCCCTGCACCATGACAGCCACATCTCGCGCCTGCGTGTGCACGTTGCAGCTGACGTAGACCACCCGGCGCGGTCCAAAGGCCAGCAGCTGCCGGAGAAAGTCGTCACTGCATCCCTTGCGCGGGGGGTCAATCACCAGCAGAGTCTGGTCAGGAGGGTAGGGGACGTCCTTGAAGAGAACGGCTGCGTCTGCGGCGGCGAAACCGGTGTTCGGGAGTTTGTTGTCGCGGGCGTTGTCCCGTGCCGAGGCGATGGAGTCGCCGGCGACGTCGACGCCCAGACTGGACTTGAATAGCGGGGAGAGGGTGATGGTGAAGAGACCGGAGCCGGAGTAGGCATCCAGGAGGTATTTGATGGGTTTGGCGTCTTGGTCGTTGTTCGGGGGCATAGCGTGTTGGCGGATAAACTCGGTGAATCCAGAGAGGATGGAGTTGTTGTTTTGGAAGAATGCGCCGGCTTTGTTGGTGAACACGTAGTCGTCGACATACTCAATGCTGGTGGCGTTCGAGTCGGTCACGCAGCGCTTCTCTTCAATGTAGGTATCCTTTTCGACGCGGATGACGTCGCCGGAGTCCTGTCCGGGCTTGTTGATGGGCGCAGGAGGGTTCTCGCTGTCCTGCTCTTTCGGCACGCGAGTGGTCGACTCACGCATAAGAAGAGTGGCACCCTTGGTGTACTTGCCGATGGTCTCGGCCACACGCTTGCGCTCGCTCTTCAATCCCTGTCGGACAATATCGGTACCCAACGGGCAGTCTTCAATATCCAAATCCATGCGTCGGTTCTTGAAAGTGAAGCCAATCGGGGGCACCTCCTTGTGCGGCTCGCGGGGTCCCTTGCCCCTCCTCTTGTTGCCGCCAGGAGCTGCAAAGTGCGGTGTAAGCTTCGTCCGGTAACCATATTGCAGCGGAGATGGGAAAGTTTCGTCGATGGCAGGAATAAGTTCCGGAATCAAACCAGAAAAGTTGGCGTAGGCCTTCTCCACAATGCGCTTTTTGTGCGCGAGCTGGTCTTCATACGACATCATTTGCAGCTGGCATCCGGAGCACCGGCCGAAGTACTGGCAACCAATGCCGGCATCGTTGCGCTTGGGGCCAGGCTCAATGACCTTGATAAAGTCTGTCATGCTGTAGGACAGGGAGGGGAAGTGCCGCACCACCTTGACCAGCACCTTGTCGCCGGGGACTGTGAAAGGAACAACGTAGACATGATCCTGATTCTCGGATAATGCGAGACCATCACCAGTTGACGAAATCTCGGCGATCTGGACTTCAATCTCGGTGAAAGGCTCGGGAAGGGTGGGTTGCGGGGGTGTAGAAGCTTCTTCTGTCTCGAGCTCGGTTTCGGGCTTGTGTCTGCGGAGAAGCTGATCGATATCGGCCTGGAGGACCTCGTCGAAGCCGCTACTCTTGTTATCGCGGGGAGCCTTGACTCTCTTGCGCCGCTTTGCGACGGTGTCGGGCTTCTTGGGGGAATTCTGCATGGTGGGAGGATTGGAGGCTAATTGCGCATTGCGCGGGCAAGCAGATTGATGGAAGAGGGCCAACCGTTGGACCTGTCGAGGGACACTGGTTGGGAGTTTTCGAAGAGTATATGATCGCAAGGATCGCAAGGCAAACATATATAAATCCCGAACCAGTTAATCAGAAAATGGAGGGATTGAGAAAGTTGAAGTAGGAGGAAGAGAAGAAAGTTGGGGTGATGGAGGAAAAGGAAAAAGTGAGTGAGCAGGAAAAGGCGGACGGGGATTGGCTGGAGTTGACCCGCTGAGAATTTCACTCGAACTTCAATGTCCTTCCCTTCGCCGTCTTGAACTTCCCCGTCCATCACCTCATTTACTCCCCCCCTCTTCTCCACCACCCCGGATTATCTGCTCTCAAGTGGCCTCTGCTGGCCAGAGAGCTCCCTATCCGCTTCATCATGAGTCTCGCACGTCCGGCCCGATGCCTCTTCTGCAGCTTCTCGCGTGCGGCCTCCGCCGGCCCTCGCGTGCCTAGTCGCCAATTCCACCTCTCGTCGATACAGCTCTCCGATCGGAAACCGAAGGTCCCTGAAGTCAACAAGGCCCCCGAGGGAAAGACTCTGGATGAAATCTACCGGGAGGTGAAGCTTGACGACTTCAAGCACTACACCGAGGAGGAAAAGGCCGCCCTCCGGGAACATTACACACCCGAACAGATCGCCGCCATTGAGGCCGGTGAAAAGACCATTGACCCGAAAGACCTGGCTGAACAGTTCCGTCTGCGTCGGGATCCCATGAGGTTGAAGTATCTCGATGATTTCTCGGTCATTGAGCCCGGCGTCGACAAGCACGTTCGCGCCCCCAAGACCAACTCCGACTACAACGCGACATTCAAGACCGAGGATGATTTCATGGAAGACTTCGCCCGCTTCTTTGCCGAATCATCGGAGGACCCCCAGCCGGCAGACTTCGTACGATTCCTCGAGACCAACCGGGTGACCCACGGCAAGGAGGAGAACGAGCTCAACGGACACAGCGCGCTCTCGCCCAATCTCTTGAAAGACGGAGAAACCTTGGAACATATGGGTGACGAGGTTGTTCCGAGGCCGCAATACCGGACCAGATTTGGAGAGCTCACATATCTAAACCCCGAAGAACCCAACGAGGCGGAGAAGAGACTTTTCCAGGTCACGGGCTACGGTAGAGAGTACATCAAGTCCCTGTACATCAAGGACCTCGTTATTCGCCGTGTCAGCAACCAGACTCGACTGGGTAAGGTCCCGAGTATGTCCGTCGTCACGGTCGCCGGTAACCAGAACGGTCTCATGGGAATTGGAATTGCCAAGTCCGATGAAATTGTCGATGCCTGCCAACAAGCTCGCGCTCGTGCTGTGAAGAACATGCAACCTGTTCCGCGCTACGAGAAGCGGACCATCTTCGGTGACGTCGAGGGCAAGGTCGGAGCTGTGGAGTTGAAGTTGATGCACCGTCCCCCAGGTACGATGTCCGATACATGAACTTTTAGCTTAGTGCTAACGCTTGATATTTCCACAGGTTTCGGTCTCCGCTGCCAGCACCTGATCTTCGAAATGTGCCGCGCGGCCGGTATCCACGATATCGCCGCCCGGGTCAACCGGTCCAGAAACCCTATGAACACAGTCAAGGCCGCCTACGAGGCGCTCATGAGCCAGCGCAACCCCGAGGATATTGCCCGTGCCCGGGGTAAGAAGATGGTCGATGTACGGGGAGTGTACTACTCTGGAAAGGGTGTTCAAAGCCGTCGTGAGCGGCGAACAGCTTGAGATTTGGGTTTGAAAGATGTATCTCTCTGAACACAACACTGCATACAGACAGCAGACATGTTCATTTGCGTCATGGGCGGTGTATATAATGTTTTCTTTTCTTTCTTTTCTATTCTGTTCAATCTTGTATTACAGTCTAAACATGTATTTGTATCCAGCATCAAGCAATACTCAATCAAACCATCAACAAATCAACACTTAAATAAGTCTAGAACATACAAAACGGGGTATATCATATATCAATCACATCTATCAAACACCACATCCATAACCCAACCCAGTTAACCCATACCATGCAATCCACCATCACCATCGCCATATCCCATAACCAAACCCCCCGAAAAGAGAAATACCTAATACCTCCCAAAACTCTCCCCCTCAACCCCATACCCTCCATACCCCCCATCCCCATACTCACCCTGCTCATACCCATCATCCCCCTGCCCCATCATCCCCGAAAACCCATCTCCCTCCATCTCCTGCTGCATCTGTTGCTGTTGTTGTTGCTCCTCACTCTCATTAAAAATCTGCTGTTGAAGAACAATACTATACACGCTCGCCTTGAGCAGGGTACAGACCGTCGCGGTTTGGCGTTCTAGGCCGCGGAGGCCATCCAGTGTGAGGGTCGTGGGGGATTCGGCGAGTGTGGAGAGTTTGGTTGATAACTATACGAATATCCAATATTCAATTATTAGCATTATAGGGAAGAGGAATTGGGGGGGTAAGGTTGTGTGTAGTAGGTAGGTAGGTAGGTAGGTAGGTAGATTGATCGGATGGATGGGTGCATCTCGGTGGGTTATGATGGGATTGTGTGGGTATTGGGTGAAGGGGATAAACACACCTTATTCACATTCCCTAATAACCGAGTATACTCATCTAGGACTTCTTGTTCCAGGGAGCTGACGAGCGGGTTGGTGGTGCGGAGGAGAGGATTGTTGGGGGTTGAGTCTGGCGCGGAGGAGGGGGAGGGGTCTTGGTCTTGGTCGTGGAGGGGGGTGTGGTTGTGGGAGTCGGGTGGGGAGGACATTTTGATAAGTATCTTCTTGTTATTTCGCTGGTGCTCTTGGTTCTGGGTGTCTCTGTGTGTGTTGGGAAATGGGGGAGGTGCGTTGTTTGGTGTATGTTGAAAGTAGGTATGTTTGGATCTGGTTTGGTTTGTTTGGGTCGCGGCGGATGGATTTCCGTCGTGTCTCATTCAACCCAAATTATCAGTATCTAGGTCAGAATCTATATCAGGAAACATTTACAGACTGGTCCGTAATAGTCTAGAAAATACATATAAATTCATAAACGTAATCATGTCCATAAGGCACCGGGCCTGTCCCATCGGACATCCAAGCATCAATAAGTCGCCCACAAATACAGAATAAAGAACAGAAAGCATCCCCAACCAAAACCATCCTGGTGTGAACAAGTCAGCCCACACCACTGTTTTGCTCAAAGATCTGTTTGCTAAGGTACAACCGAAAATCGCTAACGCCGTCTGCTGCAATAACTGTGACAGAAACAAAAAACAGTCAAACTGTTACATCGCTGCCGCATCAAACCATAAAGTGACAGCCGAATATTAGCCCATGCATGAGGGGACGCAGTCATTGGATATCAGCATATATCGATAACCACCCTGTGTATAAGAAAAGAAAAGCAAACTCCCAGCGGCAAACGTCCGATACTCCAGGTAATAGCTGTAAGATGGTGAACTCCGTGTAGAGATCTTTCATGCATCATAGTCGTAAAATAAGCCTCTAGCAAAGCGTATGCTTGGGCAGGCAGAAAACATGGTGGTGCACAACGGGCCATTTACATGTCCCCGTCATGATGAAGGGTGACGCTGTTGAACTCCTCAAACGGATCGGCTATCTCGCCATTTGGCGTCGCAAGTCCCGAATCCATCGGTACACCCTTCATCTTGGTTGTACTGGGTCCACCAATATCGACACTCGCGCTCTCCTTGACATTGCGGAAGTTGAGAGTATCCGTACCACGGCTCTGGTGAGGGATCATTGGCGGCTTCATATGCCGGATAAGCGCCCACTGCGTCTGCCGGAAGAAGGGATGGGTCTTGACGTCCGAAGCGCCGGCTCGAGCTCCAAGGCGCTTGGTCTCGTCCTTGATGAGCAGTTTGCGAATTAATGATTTGCAGAGGCTGCGAATGTTAGCACTGTGTGGTAAAGCAGACCGAGAGAGCTTACTTGGAGGTTGGCTGGGCCGCTGCATGCTCAGGGAATTGCACTTCATCTCGCAAGATGTTGCCGAACGTAGCATTCCTGTTCTTGCCCTTAAATGGTGTCGTGCCGTAAAGCATCTCGTAGATCAAGATACCAAGCGTCCACCAGTCGACTGCGCTAGTGTGCCCGCAACCCTTGATGACTTCGGGTGCAATATATTCTTCCGTACCGACAAACGAGTTGGTCCTGAAGTCGGCAATGCATGACTTGGTATCAATCGTCGGTAGAGACGTTGTGGAGTTGCCACTCCGCGCCGGGATCATTGTAGGCGCACCGCCCGGTCCCGATTGCTTCGACAGATCAAAGTCAGACAGCATGATGTGGCCAGACTGGTGGAGGAGAATGTCTAGAGCAATATAGTCAGCATAAGTCAAAACCTATGTCTATCAGGGTACATACTTTCGGGCTTCAGATCACGGTAGATGAAACCCATGAGATGGAGGTACTCCAGAGCAGCAGTAACTTCTGCGGCATAGAATCTCGCTGCATCTTCGGAGATGCACTTTCCTGGGCGGGTTTGAAGAGCTAGAAGAGTCAGCGACAGCCGGAACCTATCGAACGACTAACACACCTCTGAAGAACTCGCCACCACTGCAGTATTCCATGCACAGGTAGAGATAGTCCTCGGACTGGAAGGAGTGGTAGAGTGTAACAATGAATGGATGGTTGCTGGTGGCAAGAATTTCCTGCTCGGCCAATGCCCGCTTAATCTTGTTCCGCTTGATCATCTCCTTCTTGCTCAGTACTAGTAAAGTCAGCACACTTCGCCAATAGACAAGGCTGCAGACATAAACTCACCCTTCATAGCATAGAGTCGGCTCGACTTTTTCTCCCGGACAAGATACACCTTGCCCACATCACCCTTGCCGATCAACTTGATCTTATCAAAGCTCCCCGGCCCTACCTCCACATTGCGCACCTTGATCGAGTTGGAACTATACGTCCTGCGGAAGGCAACCGAATCCCGAATCTGGCCGGGAGTAGGAATCTTACTGTGGGGGCCAAGTTTCGGCACGGCAAGATTCACATCTTTGTCGGACGCCACCTCCACCGTAGTGACTTGTGGATCATCCACCCCAGTCGGCTCCAGAAGTTCCTTTCCAGTCTCAGCCGTCTGAGGACGTTCGTCAGACTCGCCCCGGGCAAACAGACCCTGCGCATTCGGAGCAGAAGCAACACGGCGCAGCTTACGAGCCAACTCAACTTTGTTGGCCGTAGTTGCCTGCTCGGCAGCAGAGACACCGTCCACCTGCAATTCGGGGGTATCGGGCGGGGACGACGGCACCGAGCCATCGTTCCGATGCTGCAACGAAGGCTGGCCTTGGTGGACAAAGTATGGATTGGCCGTTGCGGTCGGGGAGACGCCTTCGTCTAGCGGATTGCCTTCACTGGCAACGGTGGTTGAGCGATTTCGGCCGATAGTGGGAAGGAACCGGGATTGTCTAAAGCCGGATTTGGCATCAGACTTTGCGGGTGGGGAGGTATTGCCATCGCGATCACGCGAATCATTGTTGTGGTGGCTGGCATGGGAAGAATTGCTGCTGGAACTGTTGATGCGAAAGAAATTCTTGATCCTCGTGGGGAAGTGGCTCGAATCGTTGGAATGCTTCTTGGAGGCCAGGGAGAGACTGGGAAAGTTCCCGCGTTTCTCGTTCGTCACGGAGGACGGACTGGAGGCGAAAAGTTGTGTCATGCCGGTGACTGCCTGGATTGAATCCAGGAACGTGGCTAGGTACTCAAGTTGAGTTTGGTGATAACGAACGGGGCAAGTAGGCGATGAGAGATAATAATTGCGACGGGAGGGAAGGGGCCCCAGTAACGGGCCAGAAGCCGCGGGGGAAATTGGTAGGCGGTGGTGCTAGTTTGCACCAGAAACTTGGATTTAGAGGCACTTCCAGCCCGGGAACGATGGGGGTTGGCTGTGAATGGGGGACAACACCTCGGCTAGATCGCGGGCGGGGAAGAACACAGCGTTCGCAGAGGTCGCAAAGGAATCACCGAAGAAAGAACAGAAGCTGAAGAATTGAATCCCCGGGCCAAAGACGGGCTTTCAAAGAAAAGAAACAGCAGGGGAAGAGAAAGAAGACAAGAAGAGGAGAGAGAGAAAGCGAAAGGGCCGGAGACGGAGTGGAGACGTGGAGGGAAAGTTGGAATGGCACAGCCTGGGCTTAGTCACGCTGCCCGGCATGATACATCATACGCCTCCATACCGGGTATAGTACGGTCACTAGTTAGTTTTTCTCACCGTCACTAACCATTTGCACTAAACTGTCTGGGTAAATAGTAAGGAATACTAAAGTGAAAGTCAAAGGGGAGCCGATAAAGCCCGATAGATAAATGTCACTTCACTTATCACCGTAGTATCGGGTTGTCGTATCCATCTTGCTATCAGCACAACAATCATTTCTTTCAACCCAGCCCAGCCCAGATACCTTCTATCCTTCCTGACTCGGTATGTAATCGGTATGTATATCCGATGTCACACAGTATCTATTACTTGTTGTATACTGTAACTGGTACTTAGTATTGTCTGCCATTCAGCTCGTCCCCTAAACGTCCTCTTCCTCTTTGTAACTAACTACTAACTACTAAGTAGTTACTCCGTAGTACTTACTCGACTAAGTAAGTTATCTTAGATCCGATCGGGCTCACCACAAAAGCACAGCCAGCGCTTTTAGCAGATTGGCCGGTGCCTTAGCCAGTTGCCACATTCTGGACTTGTTCGATTCAGCTTTGAACATCCCATGGATGACTCGCCATCCCCCATGGGCCTGCCAGCACATCTGATAGGACCATCAGGCACTCCTCCCCGAAACTTGCCCACTTGCCTCCTCACCGTGGGTCATTTACAAAAACATGGAACGAAAAAAACACAGCCATTATCGCCGCTGCTATTATTTGCTGTGCCTTTTTTTGATACTCCGTTCATACTTAATACTTATTATTATTTTTTAAATTACATACAGACTTTTACAGTATCATCACCATCCACACAGACTCATACACTTATATGCTCACACACCCTACTGGTCACTGGTTTACCTTCATCCATCTGCTCTCTCCCTAGTCAAAACCAAGAATACGAGATGCG